GCTCTACTGCCTCTATTATACTGCCCTCATATGTAGCTCTAGAAACACTTTGCTGATTGATTAATAGTTGATTGATTAATAGATATTTTTTAGATCTACTGCCTCTATTATGCTGCACTCATAGGAGCTTTTGCGATTATGAGAACTTATTTTTTGGGGGAAAAAAAATTCATTTGTTCTGTCCTCTTATAGTTATTTTATGGCAGCAGAGCAAGGCCAGAATCAAGATGAAGAAGAAGAAGAGGAAGAAGTGCAACCAGGATTGTCTAACATTAAACAAACTGTTCTGGTAAATTCATTATTATTTTAATCAATAACATAAATCACTACTAATCTGTTTGCTGCCCTCTATAGTTAGAGGTTTAATGAAGTTTCTGCACCCTCTAATTTAATTTAATTCTTGTCCTTAAATAATAGCTTACAAGATTTTTTTCTCAATTGTTTTTTTATTTGCAGAGTTATTTTGCACGAAACTTCTACAATCTAAAGACTGTTCTGCTGGTATTGGCGTTCACAATCAACTTCCTTCTGTTATGGTTTAGGGTAGGTATATGATGTGGTGTAGATATTAGGTATACTATTTATTAAACGTTTATAATGTTCCATTTTAAAAGGACCAAAAATCAGCACTTCGGATTGTAATTTAAGTAGTTTCCTACATGTTGGATACTTCCAGAGCAGAATAGTAGTTAAGATGTTCTGAAAAACACTGGCAAAGACCAGCAAAACCAGTCACTCCTCGCAAATCATGTTTTGGAAATATTGGCCAAATGTATTTTATGTACTAAATTAAAATTTGTGTATCCATACATCATGCTGTCTATTTCGTGAATACTTACCTGGATAACCGACTAATTGCCATTGTTTCCAAAACGGAACACCCCTTCGAAAAAAAAAAGGAACAGTCCGACCCAAGGCGCCACGTGCGAACCGTCTCCCTAACAAACGTCCTCATTCCCTTTTCGCTCTATTTTTATAACTTTCGTTTTAATGTTCAATCCTGTATTAATAACTAAACATCTTTTTTTTGAGGAAGGACTGGTTTGGCATGTCTTTGTGTATGTTACAGCATGTTACAGCATGTTTAAGGAAACCATATGCCACCAGTTCAGGGTTTAGCAGATCTTGAAACCCTTTGGCTAAACAAATGGGGAATAAATGATAAACGATCAGGTCCAGGCAGCCAAAAGTCCAGAAAAATTAAATAAATATTATGGATGTTTTATCAATAATTTGTTACTTGTTCAATAGTTATTTGCTAAATGATATCAGGGAACAGTGAAATTTCACTGTTCCCTGATGATATTTATACCTGCTTGTTCTGGCCATTTTTTCAAAGACCCATTTTCCCATGACTTCGGCCGCCGACAACTTCGGTTGGGCAAAATTTGTATGAGGCACCATTGTGTCTGTCAGGTTTTTGGGGAGGGAGTAGAGCAGCTTCCCCCTGTTCAACTTCCATTGCATTGCTTTCTTCATTTTATTATAATAACTGTACTGTATTACTGCCTCCGTAGGCTACCACCAGTATGGAAGACGTTCCAGATGTACCAGTTGATATTGCTGAGCCCGATATAAACACCACACTTGGCAATGACACATCAGGAAGCCTTGAGGAGGAGGGCGACCTACCAGAGGTCATTGAGATAGCGGAGGGATATTACTATATAAATCATATTCTTCAAACTCTATGTATAATACATACCCTAGCATCACTCTCAATGTTGCTTGCATATTGAAGGTATGTCATAAGAAATAATTTGCCCATATTAGGTGGGCATGAAGTCATCACACCCATATATGGGCATGGTGATGGCATATCACCCCAGATATGGGCATATTACAGATTGTTTTTTTTTTTTTTTTTTGCCCAAGCACAGGAAAATTGTTATCAAAGCTTTGAAATCTTCATACAGTATCAAATTTATTGATTAAATCTTGGAAAGTGGCCACTTTTGCTACTGCTTTGTTACAGTGTGTTATAATTGTTAATTATATTTGTGTCTTTTTGCAGATGCCTCTTGCTATTTTCAAAAGAGAGAAGGAAGTTGCAAGGAAGCTGGAATTTGATGGAATGTGGATAGTGGAACAGCCATCGACAGACATCAAAGGGCACTGGGACAAACTTGCAATTAGTGCTCCGTCATTCCCTGAAAACTACTGGGATAAATTTGTCAAGAGAAAGGTAGGATGTGGATTTCACATTGAAGACTGTGACTGAATTTTTAATTCGTGTTGCGACTTTTTTTTTTAGATTGTCAGAGAAGGGCGGAAAAAATTTAAAATAAAATGTTGTGTTCTTATAGCAAGTGGTTTTGCCAAAAACGTCTAGACAGAGGAGAAAATAAAAGTAACATTTTATTAGTGAATGTAAAAACAGTGTAGTATGGTTAACTAATTTAAATTTACATAATTAGGAAGAAATATACACATCTTATTTTTTGAGATTTCAGGGCAGTGGTGGCATAATAAAAATAAAGAGATATTTTGTTTTTTTCTGAAATTTCCATTTTTTCATTGTGGCAGGTGCATTAATTGGGCAAAAATTAAATTTTATTTTTATTTGAAATCATCATTATTGTTGGGTGGTGGGTTTGCTAAACAAGGTATAAAAACAGTATCGCCTATATTAGCAAAACTATATTTTTGCCTTTGTATATTAGGTGTTGAAGAAATATGCAGACAGTGTCGGCGAAGATAAATTACGTTCAATGCTAGGCCTTGAGGAAGACAAACCATCAGAAGAGGAAGGGCTTTTATCCTCACTGTGAGTATAAATATTGGAAGTATTAATAATAAAAAAATATTCAGTAAATGTTATTGTGGTTAATAATATGGAAAATGTTATGTATTTTTTGAAACCTTGTATGTATAATAATTGGTTGTACTTGATTTGTTTTTATTTATTTTATTTAATAATTGGTTGTACTTGGTTTTTTTTTATTTATTTATTAATTTTTTTATTTATTTATTTGTTATATTTATTTTTATACTGGAGTAGATTTGCAATAAGGAAGGAAAATTTCATAATTGCACCTTGTATTTTTTTTGTATCTGTATCTGTTTTTCTATTTATCAAATATCTGTTTCATTGTTTAGATTAACAGCTGTGGACTTCAAATACCAAATATGGAAATGTGGTGTCATCTGCACAGACAATGTAAGTACATACAAAAGCACATTTATTAAATTCAATAGAGCAAGGAGAGGTCTGGATATATATATATTTTTGTACCTGCTTGTATTCAAGCAGGGCGCTCTCCCTGTGGAATACCGATTATAACATGCTGCTTTCAGAAGAGACTTTTAAGCCCTTTACATGAGCATTACATTCTACAGAAAAGAGCATGGGATTATCCCTAACATAGGTACAAGCATCTTGCCCCATTTACCAACATGATTGGTGCTGCTCTGCAGCTTCTGAATGTCCCTAGATGCCCAGCCCAAATTTCCTACTATATCAACATAAGTTACTTTAGTATTGGAAGTCATCGTATGTTTACCATATTTTTCTTCTTTTTTCAGTCTTTCCTATATATTGCAGCATATCTTATACTGTCGATTCTTGGACATTTTAACTACTTTTTCTTTGCCGCTCATTTATTGGACGTGGCTATGGGGTTCAAGACACTGAGAACCGTCCTCCAATCCGTCACCCACAATGGCAAACAGGTGCGTCCACCATTAAAATGTTTTAATTTTTCTCCACCTTCTCAGAGGTATATCGGTGTATTACTATTTAAGTACATATTATTATATATATTGTAATATTGTAACATTTGTAAGTAGTATATTGATTTGATTAGTATGTTTTCCAAATACACTCAATGGAACAACTTACCAGTACACAAGAGACTGAGTGGAGTTCAAACTACGGAACCATAGGTCAGAACTACAGCCACTGTGCCAATGGTTTGCATCCTAATGGTTGTTTATTACCTCCGCCAAATGATGTTATGTATTCACCGCTGTCTGTTAGCAGGATTATGCAAAAACTAATGAATGGATCATCATACAATTTAGTGGAATGGTACATATAGTAGTCAAAGAAAGAGACTAGTTTTTTTAACATAAAAGAAAATGATGGAATCGTCCCTCGTATTCAGACACAGGCCTGAAACATGCTGTGCAACACCCAAGAAAATAATGTGCTTGAATACAATGGGCGATTCCATTGTTTTCTTGAGGGTATGCTGTAACACTCAAGAAATTAATTTGCCTAAATACCATGGGTGGTTACATTATATTATTGAGGGTATGCTGCAGTCTCACCCACATTCACAACCTGAGTATTGTTGATATTCAGAGGCACAGGGTGGAGGTGCACTCTACAGAGTGATTGCTTTAGTTATAATTGTTTTATTTAATTCTTAAATTATTTATTTTGTCTTGTTTTAGCTTGTGTTGACTGTACTAATGACATGTGTTATCATCTACATGTACACCGTCATTGCTTTCAACTTCTTCCGTAAATTTTACAAAAATGAGGAAGGAGATGAGGTTGATCTGAGATGCCATGATATGCTTACAGTAAGTGCACTCAGGAAAGGGAGGGACCGGGGTTACTATACTTTGTGCGATATACATGTACATGTATAACCATTCTGGACCTCAACATATTTATTACTGTATGCAGGTCAAGTTCGGGTCAGAGTTGATTAGTGTGTCCTCAGTTTATTCACATCCTGTAATCTTTTCATATTCATACTAAGAACACTGCACTAAATTATACTCTTAAATATTAATATAAAATGTAAAATTTGGTGTAATATAAACTTTGCATTTTGTTTAAACCTGTTGGTAATCACATTTGCAACTATTCACAGTCTTTTCAATCATGTGTAACATGTGATTGTATAATCAAGTTTGAAGCAGTTTTTCTCTGTTTTATTAGTTAAAAACCGAAAGGTCCACTGATTAATCTCAGATAAGAAAGTATAATACATACTCCAAGTATTGAAATACACGATGGCGTGTATTTCAATACTTGGAGTATGTATTATACTTTCTTATTAGTTAAAATGGTAGTAAAACCTTGATTTCAAATTATCAGCTTGTGTTGGTTTAACCACTTTATAGAACCATTTTTTGGAAATAAATAATTTAGAAATCAAATTTAACACAAATTATAGTCTATTCGAAATTTATTTAAATACAGAACATAATTATTTAAAAAAATGATTTTGTAATTTGCATTTTACTCCTATTACTGGCATTAAGTTTGCTTATGTTTTTTTCTCCACAGTGCTTTGTCTTCCATTTACACACTGGTCTCCGTTCAGGAGGTGGAATTGGTAAGTTATTTTAGTTAATTATTATTGTTTAATTGATAACGTTTGAATTAAATATGACTGTTGAAAATCATTAGAGTGGAACTCTGGCATTGTGTTTCAGGTGCTTGGCTTTCTAATCTTAAGGTCCTGAGTTGAAATCCTGTGATTGTCAGGATTTTTTCTCAAGACCAGATTAAAGTTCTCTTCACAATTCAAATCCTCTCCACAGCAAGCTTTATAATAATATAGAGACTTGGAGACCCTTGAGAAAAGGGACAGCTGTTGAATACATGTTACTGTCATGAGTATTGAACCATACAGTATGATCATAAGATTGATGCTGTTTCTATGGTATTGTCACATGCCTTATGATGTCATACTTAACTTTTTCCACAGCTGATGAAATCGAACCGCCTGATGGAGATGATAATGAAATATTCCGTATCATCTTTGACATAACGTTCTTCTTTTTCGTCATTGTTATTTTGCTTGCCATTATTCAGGGTTTGTAAATTTTTAATTTCATTATTTGTGTACACGGTACAAGGGTTTTTTAATTTATTGACCATATTTTAACACGGCAACCCTTTAAGAAACAGACCCTGAATTTAAACATTATGAACTTTATCCACATAAATTTCTCAACATTAATTGAATGTGATGGAAGTTTTCATGAGGGATGAACATTCCATAAACATTGTGCTTATGATGAAATGATTTTTTTTTTCTTTTAATACTTACTCAATAAACTTATGCCATGTTTCCATGGAAAATTTTAAACAAAATGTGTAGTCCACCTAAGTGTATGATGTAAGAGCCAAACTCCAACCTAGCTTTTTCGCTTATGCAAGACAGCAACATATAATAGCCAACCAGAGAATGTGTTACTGAATCATCATTGTTCTGTGGATGATCACATAATTTGCCATCATTTTATTCTGTTCCGGAAAACTATTAATACACTGATAGAACATATTTCTAGATAGACCTAAATTGCTTCAAAGTTATTTCCAAAGGTAATTAGATGCCAGGTTGTGCAACTTTATATCATACATCCTGTAATTCAACCAAATTTCACAAAAACCTTCTTAAAACATAATTACAACCATGATTCACTCATTTCCCTTTTTATTTGATAATTTTAGGTTTAATTATTGATGCTTTTGGAGAATTGAGAGATCAACTTGAGCAAGTAAAAAATGACATGGAGGTAAATGAGAAAATAAACATGTCACTTTATTGAAAATGTGTATATATTTGTATATATATAAAATATATAAATCATGATATAATAGAGATAAAGGTCTAAATCTTGGCCAGTTGAGGTAACTGTTTTTTGAGTTATATATATATGTATATATATATATATGTATATATATATATATATATATTTTAAAAGGCAAATGGGAAAAACCCATAAAACAGCAAACGGCCACATAATGCAAAACTATATAAAATGAAAACGTAACAGTAGAGAAAATCCGATCAGAATGACAAAATAAACTAAGCATCCACTGGAA